GATCAGTGTTGAACAGTTATGAACAGTGTTTAAGCCAGTGAATTCAGCACTAGACAGTACCAGTGAGAGAAGTGGCCCATATGTGAGATAAGCACCTGGGAACCACGCAGTGCTAATCTATCCACTCTGGGAACAACAATGGGTCGGCTTTACACCTGACTACGAGATAACACAACACCACCTAGCAAAGAGCAAGGTACTGTGACACCACCCCAAACCATTCGGTGTCTCCATGACCACGTGAGGTAATATCAACACCTACGGACGAGTTACTGCACCACGTGAACACCACACCACCCGGTGTTTCCATGACCAAGTGAGGTCCTTCATGACAACACCTATGGACGAGTTACTGAACAACGAGGCCTATGTGACCTCGTACAGTATGGCAAGAGACCAGCTCGGGCCATCAACTGTAAACTATAATATAATTTGTATGCTCATGTTCCTTCTACTTTAAGTAATGAAAACTTTTGTTAAACGACCCACCCACCCCATGTCTTTGTAATGAATCATTTTTGTAAAATGTATATTTTCAGCCTTCCTTACTCGTGCCAGTGCCAATTTAGCCAGAGGGTACAGGGAAGACATCCAGTACCGGATGAAGGGTCTTTTCAACATAAGACGACCCCAGGCAGGAACAAAGGTGTCGGCAGCTTCCATTACTGAACTTTAGTATACAGACGACCTCACCCTTGTCACTCACACTGAACGCGACCTACAGGACATCCTGAACACCTATGCAGGTGCGAAAGCACACTTCGGCCTTGAGGTGAATGTACGTAAAACTCAGATTCTCTTTAAGCCTGCCCCTGATTCAGCCACACCCCCACCATCCATCTAGCTTAACGGTACTACCATCTCTAATGTTAACCACTTTCAGTATCTCGGATCCCACCTGTCCACCGCTGTGGACATCGATGAAGAAATTCAACATCGGATCAGATGTGCATTTCAAACCCTTGGCAGACTCCGTACCCGTGTCTTCTGCTGTATGGAGCTGAAATTATCTACAAAGTTGTACGTATATCGAACAATGGTCCTCCCCACCCTGCTATATGGCAGTGAGACATGGGTCACATATAGGAGGCACCTCAAGGAACATGAAAACTTTCACGAGCGTAGACTACGTACCATCCCCCGAGCTCGCTGGGAAGAAAAGAGCATCGAGGCTACCATTATCCATGACCATCTACGTTGGACTGGCTATACTACCCGCATGGACGACAGTAGATTGCCAAAGCAGCTACTTTACAGTCACCTAACGAATAGTAAAGGTAACGCCGGTGGGCAACTGAAAAGGTATAAGGATAGTCTTAATACAAACCTGAAAAAGTGCCAAATAGACCCCAGCACCTAGAAATCGATTACTCCACATCGTAACGCTTGGAGGAGCACCACACGAGATGGTGTCAATACTTTCGAGTTAGCCCGACTGCAAACAGAGACAGATAAGCGCCAACGCCGGACAAATGCTGCCACCGTCCCTCCCGCACTAGATGTAGCCCTCCACATGTGCAACTCATGTGAACGACCCTGCCGGTCCCGTATCGGCCTCTTTAGTTACCTCAGAACTCACCAACATATCATTGTCTCATAGCTGGATGATCGTCATACTCGATTCCGAGTGACAGCAAAGTATGTGTGTGTGTGTGTGTGTGTGTGTGTGTGTGTGTGTGTGTGTGTGTGTGTGTGTGTGTGTGTGTGTGTGTGTGTGTGTGTGTGTGTGTGTGTGTGTGTGTGTGCTTCCAAGACAGATTAAACAACAAGACTCAAAAGAACTAAATTCTTGAAATGAAATTTATAACTCGATGATGGGTGAAGGTGACGCTGTGTTAGTGTGTTATTCCAAGATCAATTATAAAAAAACTAAAATATTGTTACCAAAGAGATACAATAGTTATTGGCCATTGTACGTGAGATCCAGTATTAAATTGTATGTACATAAACAGCGACTGCAGGCAACGGGTCAATTACTGTAGGAGTTGATTTTTCATATCCGCTCGATCATCGACTGTACCTAATGCTAAAAGATCACTCAACACTAAAACAATGCCAGTCAACCCTCAAATGTGTAAGTCACCTCTTCACTGTGTAAGAAACCCTTCCACTGTGTAAGTAGCCCTATCACTGTGTAAGTAACCCTTTCAATGTGTAAGTAACCCTTTCACTATTCAGTAAAACTAATTCAACTACATAAATGCCCGGAATCAACAATAAATCAATGTAATTCATCATGCAAGAAGATTCCACTGAGTATCTAGACGACGCCTTCAACTTTCGAATTTTAACCTACATAATTTAAACTATAAATATTCTCCTTTAACTCCAAAATATTCAATTCAACACCGAATAATGTATCTCATCATCTACAAACCCTCCTTCATTACACACATACTATACAACACCCACATTAGGTCACCAGGTTTTCTACGATTTTCTCTCTTTGACCTCAACTATACGAATTAATTCGTGAGATCTAATCATCAGAACATGGCCACAGGAGAGAAAATGCCTTTGGTCCTTATAAGTTGATGTGCAGGTGAGATTTTAGTTCTTATATGGGATGGGGCTTCTACCCTATTGGTGGATATTTTTCTCTGGTGTAGGATGTATTCTTCTATAGGGTCTGGGCCACTTCCTCTCAGGGTGAGGTGCACTGCTTTCCTCAAGTACTATACATATTATTTTTTTTCCTTCGAGATGTAAAACTTGTTCTTCCAGGGAGGTAGACATTTAGTGCTTTCTCAATGAAACACTTGACGTTTACCTCCTTGAAACATGGAATGGTTTCTTCATGGAACATAAGGCATATTCTTCGTGAAACACGGAACGTTACTTTCCTCCTGAAATAGCAGATACATTCACCCTAAGGAAAAGGAGACTTTTTTCCTGGACCATGAAGTGTTCAGGTGTTTTCCTCATGAAAGGAACAATACACTCCTCCTGATGTAAAATACTTCCCTACATGTTCTCCCTAAAAAAAATACATTGTCTTGTAGGACCATGAACCCTTTTCTCCCTCCCATAGACGGAAGGTACCTTATGCACAGGACTCTACACTACACTTTCTCCGTGAGGAGTGTGGTCAGTGGGTCTCCTTGTCCTGGATATGAAGTGAAGCCCCGCGTTGATTTGCATCTCATTTTGAAGGACGGACTCCTCAGTTGTGGTCCGCTAGGGTGTTCCTCTAGGGGGGTGTAGTGGAGCATGTCCGTATGCAAATGGACCTATCGTTGGTCTGGCCCCGGGAGCTTGATGGAGTTGTTGGCGGGTGTGTTCCGTTAGCGCCGGTCCCATTGTGGTATGTCCTTTGTGATTAGGCTCCAACATTCAACATATATATATATATATATATATATATATATATATATATATATATATATATATATATATATATATATATATATATATATATATATATCTTGATAAAATCACGGGCAAATGGAAACAACGGAGTACCTTAACTTTCTTGAATAAAGACGAAAGCTAAAATCCCGTTCCATTTTTTTATCAAGACTATCTTATCACGTTTTCATTGTGGAAATATATATATATATATATATATATATATATATATATATATATATATATATATATATATATATATATATATATATATATATATATATATATATATAAATATTTATATATATGTATGTGTGTGTGTAAGTACAGTCGGCCAAAGTTCCACCTGTTACAGTAGATGGCGCCTTTAGTAAGATGTTGGGCAGCTCTGTGTTTGTTTATACCATTGTACAACTCCCGGAATGACCCAAAAGAGCCTCGTATTCTCGCAATAGTAGCCAGACTAAAGTTGAAAAATAAGCATTTCACCTCTATCTGTGAATGTAAGCATTTCTTGTATGGAAACAGTTTTAATACAGGTTACAAAATTGAACGTTATTGGCTCCTACCTGGTTTCCGATAAACGGTGACGGTGTGGCCAGATGACCCCACATACTGTGTTTAGTAATCTATCCTCAATATCTGAATGCTGATATCTTATGTGGTTTTAAATAATACTGTGATAAACCAATAAAACGTAACTAGATGCAGCCATCTTTATTATGTGGACAGCATTTATACTCTCCATGCTAACTTTTTGTACCAAACTTGGGTATAATGTAGTTTAACTAAATTTAAAATGCTATTTTTAAGCTCACTGTTAAGGTGACCCGATGTTAGACTTATCTGTAATCTAATCGACTAATACCAAGTTCGATGTTTGTTTGAAACAATGATTGCGGTTCTGAGCAAATGTGTGAAAACCAGTCCTGCTACCACCACACAACCTCACTCACACTACACACCACTAGAAAGCCTACCAATGTCCATATTTATTCTACCGTCTCTTGTAGTATGCTTGTCGGTTTCCTACCAATTCAGGAAAACTAGTTGAGTAATACTGTGTGAATATTTTTTGCAACACATTTATTGGTAGTCAGGTTGTGAAGTAAATTAAAAGACTATTATTCCTGATGTTTCATATTTTATTGTTTACATGCAAATCATCAGTGTTTGTTAAAATATTTGTTTTTAACTACACATGTCATAAAGCAACGAATACAGTAATTAAAAAAAAAACGGTGATCATACCCGGACTAAGCTACTCTACTGTACATGGCGGCTCACTCATTCAGTATTAGATTTTTATTACTGATCATTATAATAGTACTACGAGTCTTAAAAAATAGACTTAACTTTTGACTTTCTCATAATATTCGGTCTAATACATGGGCTCTGTAAAGGACGTCTGACTTTATAATCAAACGAAACTACGTAATTGTTGTAGCCTATTGTTAAATGACTGTTCCAACTAGTCTCAATCCACATCTATAGAGTGAGCAAACACCACACCAATCACCTTTCATTATATACAGCATGTGACCTTGGTTTAATAAAGGTAATTATAACCTGTAGGTGACGTCACCAGGATTGAGGGGAGGTTTGCTGCTGCAAAAATATGGATATTTTGCAAGAATATTTCCTCTTTTTACCTCAGGAATGGAACTATCCATTTCCTGCAGGCCTCCCATAATCTTGGCCACGACCGCTGCCCTACCGATACAGCCAGGGTTGTCCAGCAGTTGTTCAGAGGTGGAGAGGACATGCGGCTGTTGAGGGGGCCGAGTTAGAGGTGATATATGAGATCCCATAGAAAATATATGGGGAGCCAGAGAGGGAACAGACACCATCGGAACTTATGGCTCACACTCATATCCGGTGGGAACTGTTCCTCTGCAAGCCACAGCTTGTCCTGAACCATGTCACCTTTATGCCAAACAGACTGTGGGAGGTGATTAAGTAGAAGGTGGATGGCTACACTACTAACATTCAAAATAAAAGTAAAACATATTGTGTGTTATCTTTTTCTTCTTTTTTTTTAACGGGGATTAACCCATCCGGCCACAGGTCACTGACCCACATCAGGGCCTGGGGGACGAAAATATAATAATAATAAATAATAAATAATAATAATAATAATAATAATAATAATAATAATAATAATAATAATAATAATAATAATAATAATAATAATAATAATAATAATAATAATAATAATAATAATAATAATAATAATAATAATATATATTATTATTATCATAACAACAATTAATAAAATTAATAGCAAATTAATAAAAATAAAAATATAACAATAAAAATAATAATAATAATCATAAATAAATACAAAAACGAAAAAATAAATCAAGAGTGGGAAACGATATACATTATGTATGTTGTGTTGTCCAAGTAAGAGAAAGAATTGAGACCCAGCAATTGTGTGTAAATGAGGCAGAAAGTCAGATCAGCAGCCTGGGACTTGGTCACAATTTTCGTGATGCCATATGGCAGCAGGGTCTACCATTAGACAATGCATTATGGTTCCAATATCTTCCCAGGCGGTAGTACCTCCCTGTTTGGTAGCTGCTTACTACCTACTACTACCTATTAAAACGGGGCATATACTGTATGTTATGTCATGCAATACAACTTTAGACTCTAAGCTGTCAGAGTGTGAAATTGAATTGAATACCCGAACTGATTTGAGACAGGATAAGTATACAGTATTTGGTAATTCAGCAGTTTCCAACCAACATTTGCAGTTGTCAAGGCAACTGTGTGCATATGTATTTATGAGATGTTTCGTCAAGTAACAACACCTCGCCACACCACCACCGTCTAGCAGACAACAGGTACTGTAGGAGCCAATGAAGTTCTAATTTGTAACCTGTGTTAAAACTATAACCATGTAAGAAATACTTGCATTCAAAGATGAGATGAAATGTTTATTTAAAATTCTGAGTCTAGCTACTATTGTAAGGTTCCTCAGGGTCATTCCGGGAGTTTTACTGAGGTAAACAAACACAGCGCTGCCATATCCTACAAAAGACGCCATCCACTGTAACAGGTGGAATTGTGAACGAGTGTACAGTCGGGGTCAAAAGTTCGTTACTCCCAAAATGAAGCATCAACCCCAGACGAGATGAAACAGCACACCCGCTCCAGACGACAGTCATGGTAAGTTCGCAGACTCATTCCCTTGACTCACTTTCATCACGGGGAGTCAACTTGAGGCCCCGATTGTTATTGTGTGATATTAAATGTAGTCGTGAACTCAAGAGGCTCACGAGCCCGCTGGAAGCCTTGTCTAAATCTTGAAAGCAAACTATTCTTTATGATGTTAAGCTTCGACGCTATGTCGTAGCATCGTGCAGAACAACAGAACCTAGATAAAGTGATTGAAACAATAATTCTTCGTAAATTTAAATCTTATTTGTCTAATATCGAGTGTGAATAACCACTTTTTTTCTCTTGTTTTGATCAACGCTGCAATGATACACAATCCACCATGATGCAATTCTGTTTACCCCTGGTCCTTCCTCGCCGTTCTACTGCTTGTCATTATAACTGGTCTAGCCCAGGAGACGGGAACACCCTCGTTCTCTCATATTTACTTTCTCTCATCACCGGTCAAGAGATACATGATTTACTTGTTATATATAGTGTGCAGTTTTACTAATGTAAAGCATATAGACTCACACACAGGATAAACTTTGTTGGAGTAAAGAGTATATATATATGTATATATATACTGTATATATCACTTCAGTCCGTTTGTGTGTATGTTGCTGTTGCCCTTTGCTTCTGCTCCTTTTATTTAGTAAATTAATTCATACAAACCATAAAAATTAAACCAACATTGAAGAGTCTTACAGTCTGTCTGTCTGGCTGTATTTATATATATATATATATATATATATATATATATATATATATATATATATATATATATATATATATATATATATATATATATATATATATATAAAACCAGAGTCGCAGCCTCTCCTTCTCTTGGCCCTGGTCAAGGACGTAAACGGACTCCAGATGTGCACCTCCACGTCCTCACCTCCCTCACCCGTCATAAACTCTCAGTTGTGCCAGGCTAAGACCCTGCCATGAGTCATCTCTCTAAGTTATGTAACAAAACGGAACTCTGGAAACGACCGTTTACATATCAACTCTGACATCACCGCTCTGTCAATACTGGCCCGGGCTCCTCGCTCATTATATATGTAAACACACAAAACATGCAAATTGCCAATATCAACTACAAATGATGGAATGGCTCTTATCATCTTACTCCCTCTCTCATGGCTGGACTGTGGCATTAGCAGCATTATGCGTTCGTGCGAGACCTGCCAAATGCGTTGCTGGCAAGCAACGTACAGCCCACTGGGGACGCATCGTATATATACCGTCTTTACTGCCGCTGTAAACTAACGCCTCACCGACACTCAGTCCGGGCTAGAATTTACGCTGAACAGGAGTCGTATAAAGCTGTAATGTCAGACGGATGAGAAAGATAAGAAGAAATATGACTCGGTAAATGAGTGCGGCGGAAGTGGTCTTAAAGATCTTCCTCTTCAATGCAAACGAGAGGAGGAGTGTGGAGGAGGAGTAGATGGAGAACAAGGACTGGGTGAGTGGAGGCTACACTGGGAAACAGATCCCTCTCATCATATAGGACGAGAGATAAAAATTGGAAGGTGCCCCGAGGAACGATCACAGAGAGCGCTATTGGAAGAGATTCCGACAATTGGTGGTGTTCTACTCCCCCCTCCCTTCCTTGAATGATACGCAAGTTGGACGAATAAACTTAGCAAGAGGAGTGAACGACTGTCAACCACTGAACCAGTATGCTTGAGGAACTTGATGTCACTTAGATGATAATGTCTTATTAAATTTTGGTTCAATAAAAAAGTAAAAACTGAAGAAGGAAACAGAAAAATAGATATATAAAACAACCAGGAATCACCAGGCACCATTAAACACCACCAGGAACTTTCAGGTACCATCATGCACAACCAGGCATTTTCAGGCATCACCAGGCACCTTCAAGAACCACCAGGCACCACCAGGAACCACCAGGAAACTTCAGACACCATTAGGCATCACCAGGCACCTTCAGGCACCACCAAAAACCGCCAAGCACCGCCCAGGCACCACCAGGCACTACCAGGCACCTTCAAGTATCACCAGGCACCTTCAAGAACCACCAGGCACCATCAGGCACCACCAGGCACTACCAGGCACCTTCAAGTATCACCAGGCACCTTCAAGAACCACCAGGCACCATCAGGCACCACCAGGCACCACTAAACATCACCAGGCATCATCAGAGACCATCAAGCCCCGCCAGGCACCACTAGGCACCTACAGGCACCGTCAGGCACCACCAGCCACTGTCAGACATCACCAGGCACGTTTTGCACTACCATGCACCTACAGGTAACATCAGGCACCACCAAGCACCATCAGGAACCGTCAACCACCACCAGCCACCGTTAGCCACCACCAGATACCGGCAGGCACCGTCAAGCACCACCTACAGGAATCACCAGGAACCACCAGGCACTTTCTGGAAACATCAGGCACTTTCTGGAATCAGGCATGTTCTGGAACGCCCAGCACTTTCTGGAACCACCAGACGCCACCAGGAAACACTAGCCACCACCAGACATCTTCTGGGACATCCAGGCACTGGAAGGAGGATCACCAGGGCAGGCACCTTCTGGAACCACCAAGAACCACCAGGCACCTTTCTGGAACCACCAGGCACTTTCTGAAACCACCAGGCACTTTCTGGAAACATCAGGCACTTTCTGGAATCAGGCATGTTCTGGAACGCCCAGCACTTTCTGGAACCACCAGACGCCACCAGGAAACACTAGCCACCACCAGACATCTTCTGGGACATCCAGGCACTTTCTGGAAGCACCAAACACTTTCTGGAAACCATCAGGCATCAAAAGGCACTTTGAACCCACCACCGCACTTTCTGGAACCACCAGGCATCTTCTGAACCACAAAGCACCACCAGGAACCACCAGGCAATCTCTGGAACCACCAGAACCACCAGACATCACCAGGCACCACCAGGAAAGACCAGGCACCAACAGGCACCCCCAGGAACCAGGGCACACAAGGAACCACCAGGCAACTTTGAATCACCAAAACCACCAGACATCACCAGGCACCACCAGGAAAGACCAGGCACTAACAGGCACCCCCAGGAACCACCAGGCACCACCAGGAACCACCAGGCAACTTCTGGAACCACCATAAACCACCAGACATCACCAGGATCCACCAGGCACAGCCAGACAACACCAGGAACCACCAGGAACCATCAGGCACCACCATTAACCACCATATATAAATAAATAAATAAATAAATAAATATATATATATATATATATATATATATATATATATATATATATATATATATATATATATATATATATATATGTATATATATATATACATATACATATATATATATATATAAAAAAACAAAAGAAGTGTGTGTGTTTGTGTGTGTGTCCGCACGAGAATCTCGGAAACTACTTTACCGATCTGTTGATGGATATATGGTGTGATATGTGTATGTAGTGATGATGGATGGTGTTATATGTAGTGATGATGGATGGTGTTATATGTAGTGATGATGATGGTGTTATATGTAGTGATGATGAATGGTGTTATATGTAGTGATGATGGGTGGTGTTATATGTAGTGATGATGGATGGTATTATATGTAGTGATGATGGGTGGTGTTATATGTAGTGATGATGGATGTTGTTATATGTAGTGATGATGGATGGTGTTATATGTAGTGATGATGGGTGGTGTTATATGTAGTAATGATGGGTGGTGTTTTATGTAATGATGATTAGACAATAGCATAATAACAGTTTA